AATAACGTTTCCCACGGCGTCGCCAGACTCTCTCTGTGCCATCTGCCGTTGAGATACAATAACGGCTCTCGTCTTCTCCACTGCTGTTGGTGCCAATGCTTGTGCTGTGTTGCCCACTGAAGATGGTACATGATGACGTGGTGTCAGAATGGGTCCTCAGTGTGGGCAGTAGTATAGGTAATGATGGTTCTGGACCACTTCCACTGGAGCTTGATTCATATACCTATACCACTACTACAGAGGGAATTTTTTATGCATAAAAGCTTATGCGATTCAACGATCGTCATGAGTCGTATTAAAAGAAACATCAATTTTAATTAATAATGAATAAAATTTACTATAGCCCACGAGGATATTGGAAAGGTATAGGAGCAATACAAAAATTAGCCATTGCGGATAAGGCATCTAAAGATATGGCCAAGGACTGGTTAAAGAAACAAACGATGTGGCAAATATACTTACCGGCACCGCATTATATACCGAGGAAGAAGTTTGATATTTTTACAACAAATGAAGTTCATCAAGCTGACCTCTTGTTTCCTCCCCATGATAAGGTAAGACGCAAAACGTATAAATACGCTTTAACCGTAGTGGACGTGGCTAGTCGATACAAAGAGGCTGAGCCATTAACCTCGAAAGATTCAACAGAAGTAGCTAATGCACTGAGTCGCATATATAAACGCGGACCACTAAAATGGCCTAAGCTATTTCCAGTTGATCCTGGTCACGAGTTTATTGGATCAGAAAACTAAACTGTTAACAAAGCACGATGTCGAAATCAGGTGTGGTGAAAAAGAGGCCCACCATAGTCAAGCTATCGTCGAAAGATTTAACCGGACATTAGCGGAACGTTTGTTTGGCTATCAGTATGGGATCGAAATGAAATCCGAACGATTGAGATCAACCGAATGGGTGGATTATGATGTCTTGTTCATTCTTAATCCATATATACTTTGATTGTAACTTCCTAAAGAGTTCATCTTGTGTTCGAATGTTCTACTGTTGAATAATGCTTCTTTATACTGTTCGTGTTTGATATGCTTTTTTACCACATACTTCTTAACACCCTTAGCTTTCCTTATCTCTCCATTATCAGACTTCTTTATAGAATACATCTTAGGTCTTAATCCAACATACTCAGCAATACAGGTCCCAGCACATTCATCCTTCATCCTACCTAACACCTTTTTATTTACTACGCTGTGCAGTGGATTATCTTTTGGGTAATTGCTCGTGTCGTACATATCTATTTTTTCTGCCATATCTTTATACACATCCTTGGTTTGTGTTTCTATCAACAAAGAATCTGTGTCGGTATATAACACCTCGCATCTATCACCGTATTGCTTCTTAAGTTTGTTGTAATAAAAGTCATACATTAAGTGTTTTGACAAGTCGAGAATACTCATACCAACGTACACCGGTCTGTTGAGTTTTATATTACTCTTCTGCATATGCAACGCGGCTAAGTCGTTATCGAATATCTTACTTCAGTTAAAAGCCGGACTGGCTATAAGTTTCCTGAGTCTTTCTTCCTCATTAGATCTGACTAATTTAACATCAACACGCTTCCTTAGATTCTCCATAGTTTTACCAAATACTGAGTTATTCATGAGCTTATACAGATTCTTTTCGAAATCGCTGGTAGCTATCTTTCTTAAATCTGTGTTCAGTCTTATATAGGGCTTCATCCAAGGGCTTTGATCAAACTTTAGAACTCTGTGTATTTTCTTTAGTTTCATACCTAACGATAGATATAACTGGAGATTTCTGTAGTGAACTATATATTTTGTCTTATCCATCAAATTTGGTACGAGTTTTTCTACGTTAGCTAACCTAGTATTACCCATCAAGGAGTGTTGATATTCCGACATCCAATCTTTATTAACCATTAATCTTTCAGGAGCTAGCGGATAACTGTTATGATCTTTATGTAACAAAGTGGGATATTCCAAGTCAACTTCTAGTATGTACCCTTTATTTACATCGACCTCATGGATATCATTCACATCGACCCACTCAAAACCACCCGTGGGTAAAGGTTGACTCATAGCCCATCCGTACAAATGTGCGTGGCGGGTTTACTCGGATCATACCCTTCCACTAATTTATTATTAGCCTTAGAATACCTTTTCGCAACCATCGATATACCACCTCTTAATCCTTTCTCAATAAACAAGTGCATATCGTAATCGGTGAGTAGTTTTAGTTCTACACCGGTCTTCTTCAACAATGCATCCCACGATAGTCCGGGACTGTAATAGTACCATGCAGGGTCCAAACCGTATTGTTTTAAACATGTCTTTCTACATATCTCGAATATATCGGCGAGTAACAGTACATCGGTTTTTAAGTACAGATCGTGATAATTACCTAAATTCTTACAACCTAATTTATCCCAGACCGTCAGAGCGTGTTCATAATCGGCATTGGTTATTTTAGATTCTGTTAAGTTACTATAGAATGATTCAAGGGGTGGTAATTTAGTTTCATCGAATCTAGACCAATCATCCATATATTCGTAAGGATATACACCTTTTCTCAACAACAAATGCCGTGTTATCCGATCGGTATATTGATTTGTTATTGCAAAGTCATCGGAATTGTTCGCATTAGCTAAATTGTCCAGGGAAGATAACAGAAACTGTACGGAGTCTATGAATCTAAGCCCATTACTTTGCTTTATTCTGGCTTTCTCATCCTTTTCCGTATAATGTATAGTTTTAGTCAACGAGAATGATATGTATTTTTCCACATTATTAGGAATACATGTTAAGCCGCCGTCGGTCTTTGAGATAGCTTGCATAATGAGATGGGAATCGTATCCTCTAAGGTTATGAAACACAACGGGGATGGGTATTGTTTGAGAATTCATTTTTAGTTTCAAGTTACACTCGTTATGCACGGCTCCCCGATAATTACCCGTGACGTGGCAATGATCTCTTACGGAATCCCCATTCAGGGATTTATTACAAACATGACAACTCGTTGACTTCTTATAGGCCCTCCAATCATCCGTCGTCATACGCATGGGTTTCTTACGCATGGGTTTTCCCTGATTATTCTCTCTTCATTTTGTAGATATTCTAGGAACTTTCCCACTGCATCGGGACCTCTGTAAAATCACGGGCGGGTTTGTTTTCCCATCATATCTTACAACTATATATCCAAACCCACAAGGAATATGTTCTTGAGTTTTGTACGTAAAAATACTATCAGTATTGCGTTCAGTATTTTATATAGGTTTGATAAACGCTTCGAAATCAGCGTAAATTAGGTATGGTACTGGCATTTGATTACAATAATGTTCAAATTTTAATATATTTTTTCCCTCTTTAGGTATATCGATCCTGATAGCAGTCTGTCCAACACCTCTGCAGTCTTCTTTATGCGCTTCTAATAGATCTTGTCTGCTGTACCCATGCAGGCATCTTTCGCAGAAATATTTCTTTCTAGCATGTTTTGTTTGATCGTATAATAGCCTGTTTAAACTCTTTATCCACGTATAATGATATTTACCATCTTTTTCGATCAGAAATGAATTGATTCTGGGAATATGTTCTGGAGCGGAGCTTATCCTGTGTACAACAATTCCTTTAGAAGAATGTCCGAAAACATTTATAGCTAAATTATTTTGCTTTTCTGCCTTATCAATTTGTGAGATTGGTGTAGGTTTGTCTATACCATCAAAGTTGAGTCCATCGTTTTGGGGATAGACCTTGTGGTAGCAATTCAATAATGAATGAATGTTATCCGATTTTGGATTGGATGGGTGGAAGATCCAGTTTCGCGTTGGCACTGTTCTCTAACAACCTTCCCTTTTCAGATTTTATGAAAATGTATGACATAAAATCTTTGCATCCATTGGGTGAACCTGCTTTGGTATTTTGACATCTCATTTGAACCTATTTGGGTTATGAAACTGATCGTTCTTGAATGTGACCCTGTCTTTAAACTTTTATAACAGAACATTGGTTTTGTTGAGTTCATATTTAAAAACAGGTAACTATTTGGCTTGAGTGATCATGACCGATGACTGGGTTGATTGCATCTCATGGAACACAAATGGCAAGTGTCGGTGCTCATGACATCAATTACTGGTTTGTCTGATTCCGACCTGGTTATTTACATATACAGGATACAGCTGGAATATTGCTGTCTTTGCATCGCCTTTGACCATATTGTGCCACAAGGGCTGCAAAGGCAATTTTACAAAAAGTATAATTGACAATCTACGCAGCCTCTTATTAGTGTATCAGTGTTTAATTTACATACCATTTGGTTGTACAGAAACTTCTAACACTAATATCATATTCTTGATTACCCTGTTGAATCATTACCTTATGTAAATGGGGCGGTCGGGTAGCCTAGTGGTTAAAGCGTTCGCTCGTCACGCAGAAGACCTGGGTTCGATTCCCGACATGGGTACAATGTGTGAAGCCCATTTCTGGTGTCCCCTGCCGTTATATAGCTGGAATATTGCTAAAAGCTGCGTAAAACCAAACTCACTCGCTCACTTATGTAAATATTCCAGACAATTTAAGGTGAGCGACAGAGCCTTGTATCTGTTTGCTTCAGATTAATATTGGAAGCTTTTACAATTCAACTTGAAGTTATTGTCTTAAAAATAAAACTTAGACAACAGATTTCAGATTATATTGGGCAAATAGGGTGTGAAATGGAATAATCAAGTGGGGTAATTCTGATGAGACTACCTGAAAATTACAGCTACTGTATATGCCATTCTTCTTGATTGCCTTCACTATTTATTTGTGAAACTCCAACTTTGTGCATATGTGTTTTGCATGCCATGCATAGTGGTTCTATTTCAAAGAGGATAAAGATCATAGACGTACAGAAAGTAGTATCCAAATATATATTTCTAATTAATTTTCATTCACAAATGAACTTCTCTTTGTAGTAGTGGTGAGGGTTGGAGTCAAAACCTGACATATTTATCTTAATGTAATGAAAATGATGCCATGATTTTCCTTTCGAAGCAGAGCGTTGCACTACAAGACAATATGAATGGTGGCACATGGAAGATATCTAACCTCATCAGGGGCAGTAGACTGGAGCTCTCAGCCGACAAACTGTCTGATCATGGGTCATCATCACTTCCAAGTAGTGGCCCTAATAGTGCAGTGCAATCACCAGCTCGCAATAGGAAGGGCATCAACCTGCTCCCTGAAGTGGTGTGTATATTGCAACAACATCTTCTACGTAACACATCACACTCTCATGTACCTGCGGCAACATCCTCTACACACCCTTCACCACACTCTCATGTGCCCGCAGCAACATCCGCTACACACCTGTCATCACACTCTCTGGTATAACTACAAAATCCTCTACACACCAGTTGCCAAACACTCTGATATAGCTATAACATCCTCTACACACCAGTCACCACACTCTGATGTAGCTATAACATCCTCTACACTCCAGTCACCACACTCTGATGTAGCTACAACATCCTCTACACACCAGTTGCCAAACACTCTGATGTAGCTAAAACATCCTCTACACATCAGTCATCACACACACTGATGTAGCTACAACATCCTCTACACACCAGTCGCCAAACACTCTGATGTAGCTACAACATCTTCTACACTCCAGTCACCACACTCTCATGTAGCTACAACATCCTCTACACACCAGTCGCCCAACACTCTCATGTAGCTACAACATCTTCTACACTCCAGTCGCCACACTCTCATGTAGCTACAACATCCTCTACACTCCAGTCACCACACTCTCATGTAGCTATAACATCCTCTACACACCAGTCACCACACTCTCATGTAGCTACAACATCCTCTACACACCAGTCACCAAACACTCTCATGTAGCTAAAACATCCTCTACACACCAGTCGCCAAACACTCTGATGTAGCTACAACATCCTCTACACACCAGTCGCCAAACACTCTGATGTAGCTACAACATCCTCTACACACCAGTCGCCAAACACTCTGATGTAGCTATAACATCCTCTACACATCAGTCATCACACACTCTCATGTAGCTACAACATCCTCTACACTCCAGTCACCAAACACTCTGATGTAGCTATAACATCCTCTACACACCAGTCGCCAAACACTCTGATGTAGCTATAACATCCTCTACACTCCAGTCACCACACTCTGATGTAGCTACAACATCCTCTACACTCCAGTCACCACACTCTGATGTAGCTACAACATCCTCTACGCTCCTGTCACCACACTCTGATGTAGCTACAACATCCTCTACACTCCAGTCACCAAACACTCTCATGTAGCTGTAACATCCTCTACACTCCAGTCACCACACTCTCATGTAGCTACAACATCCTCTACGCTCCTGTCACCACACTCTGATGTAGCTACAACATCCTCTACACTCCAGTCACCAAACACTCTCATGTAGCTGTAACATCCTCTACACTCCAGTCGCCACACTCTCATGTAGCTACAACATCCTCTACACTCCAGTCACCACACTCTCATGTAGCTACAACATCCTCTACACACCAGTCACCACACTCTCATGTAGCTATAACATCCTCTACACACCAGTCGCCAAACACTCTGATTTAGCTACAACATCCTCTACACTCCAGTCACCAAACACTCTCATGTAGCTGTAACATCCTCTACACTCCAGTCGCCACACTCTCATGTAGCTACAACATCCTCTACACTCCAGTCGCCAAACACTCTCATGTAGCTATAACATCCTCTACACACCAGTCACCACACTCTCATGTAGCTATAACATCCTCTACACTCCAGTCACCACACTCTCATGTAGCTACAACATCCTCTACACTCCAGTCACCACACTCTCATGTAGCTAAAACATCCTCTACACTCCAGTCGCCAAACACTCTGATGTAGCTATAACATCCTCTACACATCAGTCACCAAACACTCTGATATAGCTACAACAACATCCTCTACACATTAGTCATCACACACACTGATGTAGCTACAACATCCTCTACAGACCAGTCACCAAACACTCTGATATAGCTACAACATCCTCTACACACCAGTCGCCAAACACTCTAATATGGCTACAACAACATCCTCTACACACCAGTCGCCAAACACTCTGATATAGCTACAACAACATCCTCTACACATCAGTCATCACATTCTCATGTAGCTACAACATCCTCTACACATCAGTCATCACACACACTGATGTAGCTACAACATCCTCTACAGACCAGTCGCCAAACACTCTGATATAGCTACAACATCCTCTACACACCAGTCGCCAAACACTCTAATATGGCTACAACAACATCCTCTACACACCAGTCGCCAAACACTCTGATATAGCTACAACAACATCCTCTACACATCAGTCATCACACTCTCATGTAGCTACAACATCCTCTACAGACCAGTCGCCAAACACTCTGATATAGCTACAACAACATCCACTACACATCAGTCATCACACACACTGATGTAGCTACAACATCCTCTACAGACCAGTCGCCACACTCTCATGTAGCTACAACATCCTCTACACTCCAGTCACCAAACACTCTGACATAGCTACAACAACATCCTCTACACTCCAGTCGCCAAACACTCTGATATAGCTACAACAGCATCCTCTACACTCCAGTCGCCAAACACTCTCATGTAGCTACAACATCCTCTACACATCAGTCATCACACACACTGATGTAGCTACAACATCCTCTACAGACCAGTCGCCAAACACTCTGATATAGCTACAACAACATCCTCTACACATCAGTCATCACACACACTGATGTAGCTACAACATCCTCTACAGACCAGTCGCCACACTCTCATGTAGCTACAACATCCTCTACACTCCAGTCACCAAACACTCTGATATAGCTACAACAACATCCTCTACACTCCAGTCGCCAAACACTCTGATATAGCTACAACAACATCCTCTACACTCCAGTCGCCAAACACTCTGATATAGCTACAACAACATTCTCTACACATCAGTCATCACACACACTGATATAGCTACAACATCCTCTACAGACCAGTCGCCAAACACTCTGATATAGCTACAACAACATCCTCTACACATCAGTCATCACACACACTGATATAGCTACAACATTCTCTACACACCAGTCGCCAAACACTCTAATATGGCTACAACAACATCCTCTACACACCAGTCGCCAAACACTCTGATATAGCTACAACAACATCCTCTACACATTAGTCATCACACACACTGATGTAGCTACAACATCCTCTACACACAAGTGTATATGACAAAACCACCTCTGATTTTTTTAACTACAACACCTATGGATCTGAAACTCAACATGAATGATCCCAGCTATAATAGAATTCTGATGCGATTTTGTACATGGCTGCCACAGCATTTAGAAACCCATTTCTTTCTTACCATCACCATGGTCTTTTGATAGAGTGCCTGCCTGGAGAGCAGAAAGTCGATAGTTTGATCCCCGGCTACATCAAATCAAAAAGACATTAAAAGATGGTACTTGTTGTTAAGTTGGATAAGAGTCAATACGCAGTGTCAGACAATCATATATTTTCTAAATTACATCCTTTACACGCTGCCATGTCCCAAGCAACCTTTGATGATTGTAAGATTTGACTTAATGGTTTGGCTGGTCAGACTGTGGTTGATTGCATGATATCTTACCCTGGTGGCATGGATCATTGTTCATAATATCAATCGACCGCCTCCGTGGTCTAGTGGTAGAGCGTCCGCCCGGAGAGCGGGACGTCCAGGGTTCGATCCCCAGCCACGTCATACCAAAAGACATTAAAAGATGGTACTTGTTGTTACCCTGTCTGGCGCTCGGCATAAAGGGGCTAAAACAAGGACTGGTCAGCTCGGAGTCAGTATACTTTGTCTGAGTGGGGTATTCATGTTAAACTGCGGCATGGTATCTCAGTGAGCTAGCACTATAAATCGGCATCAGTCCGGACTAGTACAAGCAGCAACACACACACGTGCATGCATGTCGCTATATAAGTGCAATAATCTTGGACCCGACGTTAAACCCAATTTCACCTCACCATAATATCAATCTCTGGAATGTCTTGTCCAGTCATGTACTGGTGTCCCCTGCCGTGCTGGAATATTGCTAAAAGCGGCATAAAACCATGCTCGCTAGCTCACTCACTCACTCACTCACTCACTCACTCACTCACTCACTCACTCACTCACTCACTCACTCACTCACCAGTCATGTAATTGGAATTTTGCTGAGTGTGATATTCAACAACAAGACGGACAATAGACGACAACTATCAAGCTTTTTAAACGGTTGTTGCTATCAGTTAGCTGGCCACACTAATATCCCTTTGTGTCTTGAAGTCCATGAGTCAATAGTGACAGATATTATTTCTTTTGCGTGCTGTTTGTGCATATGATGCATGCCTTATCCCTTACTTCATTACATGTATGTCTCCCATCAAGATTTGGGTTAGAATTGAGTTTCAGCAACCCATGCTTGTCGTAAGAGGTGACTGACGGGATCGGGTGGTCAGGCTCACTGACTTGCATCAAGCATTTTATCATATCCCAACTGTGTAGATCGGTGTCCATGATGTCAATCACTGGATAGTCTGGTCCAGGCTTGATAACTTAAAGACCTGATCATTGTATGCTTCTCATCAGAAAATTGCTTGTGACTATCTTCTGTTAAGATACCTGTTCTTCTGTAAACATAGTTAATTATTAGATCACCTCATTGAAAGTCAAGTGTACTTAAGATGTGACGCATTGTCTGCTTGTCTCATCATTGATTAGCTGTTACATTGTTGCCATCTTCTCTGAAACTATTAAGCTTATGGAGCTGAAACTTTGTGTGAATGATCCCGGCTATGGTGTCTCACACAAATACCAATCCGACTTTTAACATGACCACCTTTATTTTCTTCATAGTTCAGTTGAGCTACAGAGCCTTGTAGCTCTATTTTTTAATTATTCACTGTCTGGAATAGTTAGGGCAAGAGCGAATGTAATTAATATTTCAAGGCTTATTTTCAGTTATACTGTGTGTTAGGACCTTCCCACATATGCTTTGCACTTTTGAAGACTGATAGCTGTATTTCATGTCAAATCAGTCATACTGGATCAAAATGGTAATATAGTTTGTGCCATGTCTTTAAATTATGAAATAATAAATAGTTTCAAAGTTAGCTTTATTGTGTCAGCAGAGTCAGTCCAAACAGTAAATAAGTTGTGTGTTAGTCCTTTGTAATGAGTGCCAGTAGATTGTTTGTCAACAAGTCTGATGAAATTTGAAATGGCCACAAGTCATTATGAAATTGATAATAGGATCAAGCCTATTTGTAAATCCATCACTTCTACAACAATATGTTTCTGTTGCAGCCTGAACAACCAGTTATGAAGCTTTCAACACGTGAACAGAGAGATTGCGAAGTCATAGGTAACATGCTGGCCATGGCCACTTACAAAGTGGATTTCCTTAGTGTAACACGATGTAGTGGCTAATCATATTGATGTACACACGATGCAGCCACTTACAAAGTGGATTTCCTTAGTCAAACACGATGTAGTGGCTAATCATATTGATGTACACACGATGCAGCCACTTACAAAGTGGATTTCCTTAGTGTAACAGGATGTAGTGGCTCATCATATTGATGTACACACGGTGCAGCCACTTACAAAGTGGATTTCCTCAGTGTAACACGATGTAGTGGCTAATCATATTGATGTACACACGATGCAGCCACTTACAAAGTGGATTTCCTTAGTCAAACACGATGTAGTGGCTAATCATATTGATGTACACACGATGCAGCCACTTACAAAGTGGATTTCCTTATTGAAACACGATGTAGTGGCTAATCATATTGATGTACACACGATGCAGCCACTTACAAAGTGGATTTCCTTAGTGTAACAGGATGTAGTGGCTAATCATATTGATGTACACACGATGCAGCCACTTACAAAGTGGATTTCCTTAGTGTAACATGATGTAGTGGCTAATCATATTGATGTACACACGATGCAGCCACTTACAAAGTGGATTTCCTCTGTGTAACAGGATGTAGTGGCTAATCATATTGATGTACACACGATGCAGCCACTTACAAAGTGGATTTCCTTAGTGTAACAGGATGTAGTGGCTAATCATACTGATGTACACACGATGCAGCCACTTAAAAAAAGGATTTCCTTAGTGGAACAGGATGTAGTGGCTAATCATATTGATGTACACTCGATGCAGCCACTTACAAAGTGGATTTCCTTAGTGAAACAGGATGTAGTGGCTAATCATATTGATGTACACACGATGCAGCCACTTACAAAGTGGATTTCCTTAGTGAAACAGGATGTAGTGGCTAATCATATTGATGTACACACGATGCAGCCACTTACAAAGTGGATTTCCTTAGTGTAACAGGATGTAGTGGCTAATCAGATTGATGTAAACATGATGCAGCCACTTACAAAGTGGATTTCCTTAGTGAAACAGGATGTAGTGGCTAATCATATTCATGTACACACGATGCAGCCACTTACAAAGTGGATTTCCTTAGTGAAACACGATGTAGTGGCTAATCATATTGATGTACACACGATGCAGCCACTTACAAAGTGGATTTCCTTAGTGTAACAGGATGTAGTGGCTAATCAGATTGATGTAAACATGATGCAGCCACTTACAAAGTGGATTTCCTCTGTTTTACATGATGTAGTGGCTAATCATATTGATGTACACACGATGCAGCCACTTACAAAGTGGATTTCCTTAGTGTAACAGGATGTAGTGGCTAATCAGATTGATGTACACACGATACAGCCACTTACAAAGTGGATATCCTCTGTGTAACATGATGTAGTGGCTTATCATGTTGATGTACACACGATGCAGCCACTTACAAAGTGAATTTCCTTAGTGAAACAGGATGTAGTGGCTAATCATATTGATGTACACACGATGCAGCCACTTACAAAGTGAATTTCCTTAGTGTAACATGATGTAGTGGCTAATCATATTGATGTACACAAGATGCAGCCACTTACAAAGTGGATTTCCTTAGTGTAACAGGATGTAGTGGCTAATCAGATTGATGTAAACATGATGCAGCCACTTACAAAGTGGATTTCCTCTGTTTTACATGATGTAGTGGCTAATCATATTGATGTACACACGATGCAGCCACTTACAAAGTGGATTTCCTTAGTGTAACATGATGTAGTGGCTAATCAGATTGATGTACACACGATGCAGCCACTTACAAAGTGGATATCCTCTGTGTAACATGATGTAGTGGCTTATCATGTTGATGTACACACGATGCAGCCACTTACAAAGTGGATTTCCTTAGTCAAACACGATGTAGTGGCTAATCATATTGATGTACACACGATGCAGCCACTTACAAAGTGGATTTCCTCAGTGTAACAGGATGTAGTGGCTAATCATATTGATGTACACACGATGCAGCCACTTACAAAGTGGATTTCCTTAGTCAAACACGATGTAGTGGCTAATCATATTGATGTACACACGATGCAGCCACTTACAAAGTGGATTTCCTTATTGAAACACGATGTAGTGGCTAATCATATTGATGTACACACGATGCAGCCACTTACAAAGTGGATTTCCTTAGTGTAACAGGATGTAGTGGCTAATCATATTGATGTACACACGATGCAGCCACTTACAAAGTGGATTTCCTTAGTGTAACAGGATGTAGTGGCTAATCATATTGATGTACACACGATGCAGCCACTTACAAAGTGGATTTCCTTAGTGTAACAGGATGTAGTGGCTAATCATATTGATGTACACACGATGCAGCCACTTACAAAGTGGATTTCCTTAGTGTAACACGATGTAGTGGCTAATCATATTGATGTACACACGATGCAGCCACTTAAAAAAAGGATTTCCTTAGTGGAACAGGATGTAGTGGCTAATCATATTGATGTACACACGATGCAGCCACTTACAAAGTGGATTTCCTTAGTGAAACAGGATGTAGTGGCTAATCATATTGATGTACACACGATGCAGCCACTTACAAAGTGGATTTCCTTAGTGTAACAGGATGTAGTGGCTAATCATATTGATGTACACACGATGCAGCCACTTACAAAGTGGATTTCCTTAGTCAAACAGGATGTAGTGGCTAATCATATTGATGTACACACGATGCAGCCACTTACAAAGTGGATTTCCTTAGTGTAACATGATGTAGTGGCTAATCAGATTGATGTAAACATGATGCAGCCACTTACAAAGTGGATTTCCTCTGTTTGACATGATGTAGTGGCTAATCATATTGATGTACACACGATGCAGCCACTTACAAAGTGGATTTCCTTAGTGTAACAGGATGTAGTGGCTAATCATATTGATGTACACACGATGCAGCCACTTACAAAGTGGATTTCCTTAGTGTAACACGATGTAGTGGCTAATCATATTGATGTACACACGATGCAGCCACTTACAAAGTGGATTTCCTCTGTGTAACATGATGTAGTGGCTAATCAGATTGATGTACACACGATGCAGCCACTTACAAAGTGGATTTCCTCTGTGTAACATGATGTAGTGGCTAATCATGTTGATGTAAACACGATGCAGCCACTTACAAAGTGGATTTCCTTAGTGTAACACAATGTAGTGGCTAATCATGTTGATGTACACACGATACAGCCACTTACAAAGTGGATTTCCTCTGTGTAACAGGATGTAGTGGCTAATCATATTCATGTACACACGATGCAGTCACTTACAAAGTGGATTTCCTTAGTGTAACAGGATGTAGTGGCTAATCATATTGATGTACACACGATGCAGCCACTTACAAAGTGGATTTCCTCTGTTTTACATGATGTAGTGGCTAATCATATTGATGTACACACGATGCAGCCACTTACAAAGTGGATTTCCTTAGTGTTACATGATGTAGTGGTTAATCATGTTGATGTACACACGATACAGCCACTTACAAAGTGGATTTCCTCTGTTTTACATGATGTAGTGGCTAATCATATTGATGTACACACGATGCAGCCACTTAAAAAATGGATTTCCTTAGTGTAACAGGATGTAGTGGCTAATCATATTGATGTACACACGATGCAGCCACTTACAAAGTGGATTTCCTTAGTGTAACAGGATGTAGTGGCTAATCATATTGATGTACACACGATGCAGCCACTTACAAAGTGGATTTCCTTAGTGTAACAGGATGTAGTGGCTAATCATGTTGATGTACACACGATGCAGCCACTTACAAAGTGGATTTCCTTAGTGGAACAGGATGTAGTGGCTAATCATATTGATGTACACACGATGCAGTCACTTACAAAATGGATTTCCTTAGTGTAACAGGATGTAGTGGCTAATCATATTGATGTACACACGATGCAGCCACTTACAAAGTGGATTTCCTTAGTGTAACATGATGTAGTGGCTAATCATATTCATGTACACACGATGCAGCCACTTACAAAGTGGATTTCCTTAGTGAAACACGATGTAGTGGCTAATCATATTGATGTACACACGATGCAGCCACTTACAAAGTGGATTTCCTTAGTGAAACACAATGTAGTGGCTAATCATATTGATGTACACACGATGCAGCCACTTACAAAGTGGATTTCCTTAGTGTAACAGGATGTAGTGGCTAATCATATTGATGTACACACGATGCAGCCACTTACAAAGTGGATTTCCTTAGTGTAACAGGATGTAGTGGCTAATCATATTGATGTACACACGATGCAGCCACTTACAAAGTGGATTTCCTTAGTGTAACATGATGTAGTGGCTAATCATGTTGATGTAAACATGATGCAGCCACTTACAAAATGGATTTCCTCTGTTTTACATGATGTAGTGGCTAATCATATTGATGTACACACGATGCAGCCACTTACAAAGTGGATTTCCTTAGTGTAACACGATGAAGTGGCTAATCATATTGATGTACACACGATGCAGCCACTTAAAAAAAGGATTTCCTTAGTGTAACATGATGTAGTGGCTAATCATATTGATGTACACATGATGCAGCCACTTACAAAGTGGATTTCCTCTGTAACATGATGTAGTGGCTAATCATGTTGATGTAAACACGATACAGCCAACTACAAAGTGGATTTCCTTAGTGTAACACAATGTAGTGGCTAATCATGTTGATGTACACACGATACAGCCACTTACAAAGTGGATTTCCTCTGTGTAACATGATGTAGTGACTAATCATGTTGATGTACACACGATGCAGCCACTGACAAAGTGGATTTCCTTAGTGTAACACGATGTAGTGGCTAATCATATTGATGTACACACGATGCAGCCACTTACAAAGTGGATTTCCTTAGTGTAACAGGATGTAGTGGCTAATCATATTGATGTACACACGATGCAGCCACTTACAAAGTGGA